GTTTTCCCAGCACACTAAAACACCACACAGACGGGTATCAACCCTAGATATATAGTGATGACTAAGGAGTTTTTACATGTAGAATGATTTATCTAACTGAACAGCGCCTAGAACTCTTGAACTCAAACTAAACGGAGGACTTAAAGTGCAGTCCATGTTTCATTTTCAAGACGTGCAGAATGGTTGAATTTTTTTGAACTTTCCTCTCACTCTAAATGCTTTGGTGTTATAAAATGCACTAAGAATGACTTTCCTCACTTGTGTTCTCTGTTTTTGTATCAAAAAGCAGAAAATGTTTTTTTTCTAATTTCAGTTTAAGAGGGCGTGAAAGACGTCAAGCTCATGGAGGAAATTTGAGCGCCCTAGGCTTAAGCGCAAGGAAAACTGTTTGAATATATCATTGCACTCAAACACTGTAGGAGCAATATGTAACTCTGTTTAAACTGTTTAAAATGGGTACTGCAGTCCAAATTGTAGAGATCTGTCTCCCCCCGCGCCCCCCCCCCCCTTCTCCTCTTGAGAGTCGATGCTCACGCAGGTTGCCATGTGGTGGACTCTGTTTATCCAGCTCTGCATCGGTCTGTAAACCTTTCTGTGTTCTAACCTCTCTTCATTTTTCAAAAGCATCTCCAATATTGATCCTAGTTTGAGCACGTTTCTGCTCGTGGAGCTTATTAGAAACATGCAGAGGCTTTTTAGGTCGGGTACAATCACTTCTATCTGAACCACTTCTCTTGCCCGCTTCCATCTCTGCAACACCTGTTGACCTGATAACTGCTCTCATATCTGGCAAACCGAGGGGCATCCAAAATGGCCGTGTGGGGGGTGCCTTAAAACCGCCTACCTTCTCTGGTCCAAACAAATCCAGAGCATTCAGGAGCAGAATCTAAAGTTAGAGGGAGGACATACTGGCTGCTGCATTGTTGTCAGAGAAGCCAGCACTTCAACATAGCATGTTACATTTCCTTTTGTCAGATCCAAAGTCCAGGAAGCCCGAAATAAGTTGTCCACATCCGCTTCACTGTAGTTGTAGATTTAAACTTGATTCAACAAATTTTGTTATACAAACAGCTGTTGGAGAAAGAGCATCTTCTGTTTCTATCTTGTTAATCAGTTTCTCTGTGTGTTTGTGTTTTGTTTTTCCACACAGGTGTTTGTGTGTATGTGGAAGGGCTGCAAGGTGTACAAGACACCGTCCACAAGTCAGAGTTGGCTGCAGAGACACATGCTGACACACAGCGGGGACAAGCCATTCAAGGTGAAAACACACACACACACACACTGTCATGGCATGGCTCTTCATCCCTGCTGCAGTCATAAATAGACAACAATCATGCATCATTAACATTAAAGGTCACATATTATATAAAATCCACGTCACCATGTTTCTCTAACTCTTATGTGTCCCTAGTCTTTCTACAAACCCCCCAATTGTAAGAAAAGTCCATCCTCTCCGTCTTTTACCTGCTCCACTTTTCAGAAAACGTGTGCTCAAACAGAACGTTTGGAGATTTTCCCTTCATGACATCACAAAGGGCAGTAGCCCCTCCCCCAGGTGGGTGACACTCCCACAGCTAGGTGTTTGTTCTGCCCTCTGAGTCTGCCTTCTCACTGTAAACAATAGGACATGGAGCGAGAAAGCCCGAGACACACAAGCCCTTCCAGAGAGGGGGCGTGGTCAGACACAGCTCATTTACATATTTAAAGGTACAGACACAGAAACAGCCTGTTCTGAGCAGGGCTGAAATAGAGGGGTTTATAGACATGATAACACCTCTGTATGAATCTTTTTGTGTGTCCCCTCAGTGTGTGGTGGGGGGCTGCAACGCCACGTTTGCCTCTCAGGGGGGGCTAGCCAGACATGTCCCCACCCACTTCAGCTCCCAGAGTTCGTCCAAGATGTCCAATCAGGGCAAAGTGAAGGAGGAGTCTCCGTCCAAGGCCGGACTCAACAAGAGGAGGAAAATGAAGAACAAACACAAGCGCTCCCTACGTACGTTACACACATACACATACTGTTTTTGACTCTGTGTTTGTACTTATTGGGATATTTCATATAATATTTTAACTTTTTAGTGACTTTTCCAGCTCGACCTCACGACTTCTTTGATGCTCAGACAATGGACGCCATCCGCCATCGAGCAATCTGCCTCAACCTGGCAACACACATCGAGAGTCTGGGCAACGGACACAGTGTGGTCTTCCACAGCACGGTGGGGGCACGCACACGCACACGCACACGCACACGCACACATTGTGAGCAGCAGCTTTATCCGTGTGTTTGTGTTTTCAGGTAATAGCGAGGAGGAAAGAGGATTCCGGAAAAGTGAAGGTCTTGTTACACTGGGCACCAGAGGACATGTAAGTACTGCTCCTCCTCTTCCCCCTCTTCTTCTTTTTTGTCCTCCTCCTCCTATTCTTTTTTTCTCCTCTTCTTCTTCCCCATCTATTTTCTCCTCCTCCTCTTCTTTTCCTCCTCCTCCTCTTGTTTTTCCCCCTCCTCCTGTTCTCCTCCTATTTCTCCTCTTTTCATCCCTCCTCTGCTCCAGTCTCCCTCTTGTGGCATTGAAACGGAATTACACACAAAGATTTCACAGCTGAAGATCCCCTCAGTTTTTTGATTTGTGGTACAGCTGATGTGGTACCACGCAAAATCCAGAAATCATAAATTAGTATTTGACATGTGAGGAGGAAAGCAGATGTGACGTGATGTTTTTTTTTTTATTCAGAGCGCAGAAACAAATGTTGTCTTTTGTCTATCAGACTGCCAGATGTTTGGGTGAACGAGAGCGACAGACTGCAGCAGAAGACAAAAGTGGTTCATCTGTCCCAACTGCCCACAGACACGGCTGTGCTCCTGGACCCCAACATCTACAGGTGTGTGTGTGTGTGTGTGTGTGTGTGTGTGTGTGTGTGTGTGTGTGTGTGTGTGTGTGTGTGTGTGTGTGTGTGTGTGTGTGTGTGTGTGTGTGTGTGTGTGTGTGTGTGTGTGTGTGTGTGTGTGTGTGTGTGTGTGTGTGTGTGTGTGTGTGTGTGTGTGTGTGTGTGTGTGTGTGTGTGTGTGTGTGTGTGTGTGTGTGTGTGTGTGTGTGTGTGTGTGTGTGTGTGTGTGTGTGTGTGTGTGTGTGTGTGTGTGTGTGTGTGTGTGTGTGTGTGTGTGTGTGTGTGTGTGTGTGTGTGTGTGGTGTGGGGGGGGGATGTGTGTGTATGTGTGTGTATCCAAACTTTTGGATGTTTTCTGCTTCAATCTCTGCACAACAGCGGCACCAGTCCCATGTGAAGAAGCCAGTGTACTTAAATAAAATCATCTTTATATTTAGTTCAGATTTTCTCAATGAAATGTAGGTATTGTACAGGACGATGTTGAAGTTAAATAACCCAAAGTCATATAATAGTGTGTTTATATGTTTACCTTTCCATTTCTACATGTTTGTTAAAAAAAAAAAAAAAAGAGGAAAATATCTGACTATTTTTCCTCCCACAGGATGTTTTTCTAACCCCCTCCAGAGGAACTCCATCCCTTTCCACTAATTCATCATCATTGAGGAGGGAACGCCTCCATCTTGACCTTCCTCTCCTCCCTCCTCTCCCAGAGGATGCTGGGAGTTTAGTGGCGTACTCGTGGAGGCCGTCTTAGGCCTCCGGTGTCGTCTCCTTTAGGTGCTGAAGTATACTGAAGACGCGTTGCTCGTTTTAGGAAACAACTAGACTGAAAACTAACTGACAGAGCTGTAGACAGTTAGACACACATGTAGAGAGAAGCTGTCTTTGTAAATAACTGAGATTTGTAATATATTTTTATACTTTGATATTTTGTACTGTACTGTAGATAGATGTCTTTTTTCAGCCAAACATTTTTAAATAGATCTTTAAAAACACTGATGATATTGATCATGTGCATATAGCTGGCATTGCTGTGGTTTGACGTCATTAAAGTTTCTAAAATCCTCTCCGTCTGAAGTCTTTACCTGCTACTGAGTTTCACGAATACAGGCTGGTTGTGTGTTGTAGGCCACAGTTTTGGCCACCAGGGGGAGCCATGTCATGAGAAAAGCTGAGGGAGGGTTGACTGCAAATGAACAGAAGGTCAAACTCTTTATATCACATCAATAGTTGACATCTGGTAAATGTTTACATGAAGTACAATTGGATATGATAGATGAAAGTGAGTCTAGGGTTGAACCACATATATTTAATTTAAAACATTGATAAATGGGGGTGATGTTGGCGTTTAGTTCAAGCCCCATGTACGGAATCATATGTTTAAAATGCTGGAGTTTACTTTGCCGACAACAATGCATGAAATCTTTTAGGGTAAATTCCTTCCTGATTCTGATGAAACATTCCCTGTTTTTCCCTGAATTTTACTGAACTCAGCCCGATCTCAGATTCAGAAAAGTTAACTTTTGAAAAAGTAAGTTTAATATTGTATGTAAATATATCAAAAGGTTTAAATTAAAATAAAAAAAACTTACCATTATTGTTTAATTTATGCAACAACAAAAAAAACGTTCAGTATTAGCAGATCAAATAAATACAAAATACTTTCATACAGTATATCTCACTCCCAGGCCATTATATGATCCGACAGTTTTCTCGGATTAAAACAAATTGATGAAATAATCAAAACTTTTTATTTTAAATAAGTGACAACACAATTTTAAAAAAAAACACGAAGATAAGCAAAACAGAAAAGAAACAAACAATATTCAACCATGTAAAACTATTTAGATATATACATAGCGGTATCGAAAATACAGAATTAAAGTAAAATATTTAAGTTCTTATGTTTTCTCTGCTTTCAGTCTGTTGTAAAGACTGAATGTAGTTTTCTATATCTATTTGAATTGTTGTATTTTGGGTATTTTTTAATTCCATATACGTCTGTGAATGTAATATTTACCAAACAAAATCAATACATTTAAGATTGTTTACAGTGAGTTCCCATCGTGGAAAAAAAAAACAGTTTCTGGTTCAGTTGGTGACGTCACTTTAAATACCCGGAAGTTGTCGACGGATCCGGAAGCCGTGTCCACAGAGGAGAATGGCTGGTCTGTTGAAGAAGGTACGTGTAGAGGTCATGTTTTTGATTTAGTGAGTAGAATACATCACATACATCCTACATTTCCAGCTCAGTTTATACTCCTTAAGCTACTTCCTGACTGAGTATCTGCGATGTTAGTTCCGTTTGTAGTTTGAAGGAGACGCTGCTATGTGTTAGCTTGTTAGCTGTTCTGTTAGCCCTGAGGCTAGGTGAGGCTGGAGGAGACATTGTGGTTAAATTCTTCTGATTTTAGGTTTTTAATGACCTGTTTTAAAGGCAGTTGAGTGACTTTCCTGGGATATTATGTTGTAACAATAGGTAATACAAGTCTCTAGATTTTCTAACATGGCTCCAAACATCAGTAAATATCTGTTTACATGCTAATATCTTAAATTATACACCAACTCCACACAAACACTGCTGTTTCTGACAGATAGATAGACAATTCATCCCCTCAGGAGTGTCCCATAGCTCACAAGTGATCAGTAGTTTAAATTGTAAAGAGTTTATTGTTTTTCATTCTTATTCATGCACGGGTTCATTTAAATGATCTTGGTACAGGTCTTAGGAGTCCCAGGTCAGGACTTTGTATATGGAAACCACTAGCCCACCTGTGCCCCAATAAATGTTTTATCCAATGTGTTTTTTTTGATAATCTGCTACTGGATGCTTTGAATTTCCCTCAGGATAAATAGAGAGATAGATATTTAACAGGGAAGAGGCACAAACAGGGTTTGAATCCAAGCTTTGATCAAACGAAGAGAGCAGTTCACTTTGTTAATAAAGGTAGAATGATATTATTTAAGTACTTCACTATTTAAAAGTTCAATCAAAAAACCTGCTCTACTGATAAACTCGTAGGAATTAGTTTATTGTTTAAAGTGTGAATGTTTTATTTATTTATTATTTTACTATGGTGGATAGAAGCGTTCTTCATTCATCAGACGTGTTGATCAGAAACAAGTTTAACGTTTATATGTTGAAAAGTGATTCAGAGTTAAAAAGCATCTTTCCTCCTCTTCTTCTCCTCCAGACGACGGGCCTGGTCGGCCTGGCCGTGTCCCAGAATCCACATGAGGTGAGCACACACACACACACACACACACACACACACACACACACACACACACACACACACACACAGTTGCATTTTGATGTTGTTCATGTCTATATTTCAAATAAAGAGCTTGATAACCTTACTACAACTTTCACTTTGTGAGTATTTTTAAACTGACCATCTTCTCCGTTCTTCTCTCAGCGTCTGAGGATTCTGTACTCAAAGATTCTGGCGTCCGTGCAGACCATGCCACAGGACGCAGCCTACAGGAAGTACACGGAGCAGCTGGTCAGCGAGAGGTTCAACCACGTTAAAGCAGTAAGTCATTAGTTTTTACAAACTGCATCTTCTGAATCAGCGGCTTCTCCTTTGACTGAAAGCAGAGATGCTGCATTTAGTTTAGGTATCAGTGCAGTTGCCTTTGTGTCCATCTGAACATGACCGCGGTAATTCATTCTTGCGGTTACCACGGCAGCCTTACATTTGAGTCCACAGATCTGCAGACTTTCTGATTGGGACTTTTTCCATGTTTATAGTGATTTGATGACGTTCTGCCCCCTCTTAAGTTAACTTTAATGTGCGCGTGCTGCCGTTTGTTCCACAGAAGTTAACCTGCATGTGACAAAAACGGGTTTCTCACTGTTGCAGCGATGTATCACATGTTTGTCGTGTTGTTGGTGAGGATTTACACGATGGCTTTCTGATTTAGTAGTTTAATTACATATATAAAAACCTTTATGTCACAAACACACACTGCACGTGTTGATTTCGTCCCTTTAAACTCTTGCTGATGCTTGTCTCCAGGCCACTTGTAATAGTTTTGTTATTTTTCCTCCTTTTTATACAAACCTGAGCCCTCACTGACCCGCCCACGAACACAGAACACTCCTGACACAGGTTCAGTCTGAGTTTTAGTCCGTCTTGGTTTAGTGCGCCGGTCTAAGATGGAGATTAGGTCATCAAGAAAAACGTCTTCAAACATCTTTAAAAAATATTTGGAAAAAACAACACAAGACAGCGTTTTGTTGAGATACAATTTTATTCAAATTTCAGTAAAATGTTCTGAAATATTCTTTTCACATGTTTGTGTGTTATTATCTTAGTTCTGCATGATCACTTTTTGTGTGTGTGTTTTTAAGGATTTTGTAGTTTGTTCTGTTTTTCTCTATGACTGACGTGTTTCTCTCTCCTCAGGAGCCCGATGTGGAGAAACTGGAGAAGAAGATCAACTGTGGGCAGATTGAAGAAGTCATTTTCCAGGTAGGTCACCGTCGCAATGTTCATCCCACACTGTCAGCTGGTGGACTGAGTATATCGAACACCTTTGATGGTTTCAGGAGGCTGTTTAGTGATATGACTCTGATCACATTCTGCCTGTTGTTCAGTAAAGGTGTTGAGTCTTTTATGTATTCACTGAAGCTCATGTCGTATACCCAGCTGGAGCTCTAATTAAAGACGTGTCATGGTTGTCTTCACAGCCCTGGTGTTTTTATTGCTAAATCTTTGAGTGATCCTGTCCTACTTAATGCACACTTCAAGTACTGGTGTGATACATCCGTTTAGCTTAGTGTATTTGAGATGAAGGGATCTCTGATGCATGGCTGATTTGGATATAGATCTTGAGCTTTAATTTTCATCCACACAGTAAAAACAAATGGTCAGACATGCAGAGGAATAAGTAAGAAAGATGTGTGTTTACATTTGAGACATGTTGTTTCTTTATAGTTTTGAAACTCCTACTTGGAAACAGTTTTGCTTTCCAGCCTTGTATCTTCTCTTAGTATTACTGTATATATGTATATTAAGTCTGTGTGTTTCCTGTGTGCAGGCGGAGTGTGAGCTGGCTCTGTCCAGGAAGATGTCGGAGTGGAAGCCCTGGGAGCCGCTGATCGAGGAGCCTCCTCCTAACCAGTGGAAATGGCCCATCTGAATACACCCTGTGTATACATACTGTGTGTGTGTGTGTTTTCCGAACCCCTGCTTCCAATGAAGTACTGTACAAAATAAAAATCCTTCAATATACCCCCATGTATTCTCCAGTGTCTTCAATTAACATCTCACAGATTAATTTACATACACGATTACACGAGTCCAATCATAACACACAGGTCAAGAGTATACTGAAAGAAACATGTCAAGGATCAAAACTTGGAAGCAGTGTTGTACCTGCACATAGGCCTCCAGAGCGCCCCTACGAGTGGAACAGAGGGAGCACTACATGATAATATGTACCATGTGCTATAGCCAAATAAATCATGACCTGCAAAGAGCAGTTGATTTTACATGCAGACAACAGGTTCAAGATGAGCAGAGGAGTTCCTTACAACTCAAATATATGTTAACGTTAGTTAGTTAATGTGTGTGTGTTTGTGTACATACATGCACATATAAACATACATGCATGCATACATTCATTCCTTCCTTATGTCGAAAATTGGAAAAAAAGACGTACATACCTGTATTCATACATGCATACGTGGGTACATACATATATATATATATATACTGTACATACATAAATGCATACATTCATTCATGCATACTTACACAGACATTAACATTTTTTTTTTCCGACGTATGTATGCCATTTATTAGACTTTTTTTCTTTCTTTTTTTTGGACGGATTACTTATTTTCGACATAGGTATGTATGCCGTTTTTCCAATTTTCGACATAGGTATGTATGCCGTTTTTCCACATTTTCGACATAGGTTGTATGCCTTTTTTTTCCCAATTTTCGACATAGGTATGTATGTCGTTTTTTTTTCAAATTTTGACATACGGTAAATTTCAAATATTTACATAGGTATGTATGTTGTTTTTCTTCATACATCGACATAGGTATGTATGTATGTGTTTGTCCTTTTATCACCGCTGACGCACAGGAAGTGAAGATTGCACTTGTTTCGATTTATTAACCAATTTCTAACATAGGTATGTATGTCGTCTTTCCCCAGATTTCGACATAGGTTGTATGCGTTTTTTTCAAATTTTCTCTAGATTTCCACATGGATATGTATGTTGTTTGTCTCCAGATTTCGAAATAGGTATGTATGTCGTTTTCTCCAAATTTCGACATAGGTTGTATGCCGTTTTTTCTTTGAATATCAACATAGGTATGTATGTCGTTTTCTTCAATTTTCGACATAGGTATGTATGTCGTCTTTCCCCAGATTTCGACATAGATATGTATGTCGTTTTCTTCAATTTTCGACATAGGTATGTATGTCGTCTTTCCCCAGATTTCGACATAGGTTGTATGCTGTTTTTTCGAATTTCGACATAGGTATGTATGTATGTGTTTGTCCTTTTATCACCGCTGACGCACAGGAAGTGAAGATTGCACTTGTTTCGATTTATTAACCAATTTCTAACATAGGCATGTATGTCGTCTTTCTTCATACATCGACATAGGTATGTATGTCGTTTTCTCCAAATTTCGACATAGGTATGTATGTCGTTTTTCTTTAAATGTCGACATAGGTTGTATGCGGTTTTTTTAAAGTTTCGACATAGGTATGTATGTCGTTTTTCTCTAGATTTCCACATGGATATGTATGTCGTCTTTCCCCAGATTTCGACATAGGTTGTATGCCGGTTTTTTTTGAATATCAACATAGGTATGTATGTCGTCTTTCCCCAGATTTCGACATTGGTATGTATGTCGTCTTTCTTCAAATATCGACATAGGTTGTATGCGTTTTTTTCCAATTTTCGACATTGGTATGTATGTCGTCTTTCCCCAGATTTCGACATAGATATGTATGTCGTTTTCTTCAATTTTCGACATAGATATGTATGTCGTTTTCTTCAATTTTCGACATAGATATGTATGTCGTCTTTCTTCATACATCGACATAGGTATGTATGTCGTTTTCTCCAAATTTCGACATAGGTATGTATGTCGTTTTTCTCTAGATTTCCACATGGATATGTATGTTGTTTTTCTCCAGATTTCGAAATAGGTTGTATGCCGTTTTTTTTTGAATATCAACATAGGTATGTATGTCGTTTTTTTCCAATTTTCGACATTGGTATGTATGTCGTCTTTCCCCAGATTTCGACATTGGTATGTATGTCGTTTTTCCCCAGATTTCGACATAGGTATGTGTTTGTCCTTTTATCACCGCTGACGCACAGGAAGTGAAGATTGCGCTTGTTTCGATTTATTATCCAATTTCTAACATAGGTATGTATGTCCTTTTCTTCAATTTTCTCCAAATTTCGACATAAGTTAAAAACATCCGGAATCCAAACTAACTACATAAAAACAGTAAGATAAGAAACTGTAATTCAACACCCACAGAACCTCCTGCACATGTAAAAACTAATTGTATGTCGTTCTTTTTCCAATTTTCGACATAGGTATGTATGTCGTTTTTTTTCAGATTTCGACAGGTACAGTTGTGCTCATAAGTTTACATACCCTGGCAGAATTTGTGATTTTTTGGTCATTTTTCAGAGAATATGAATGATAATACAAAAACTTTTCTTTCACTCATGGTTAGTGGTTGGGTGAAGCCATTTATTATCAAACAATTGTGTTTGTTCTTTTTAAATCATAATGACAACAGAAACTACCCAAATGACACTCGTCAAAAGTTTACATACCCTAGTTCTTAATACCGTGTATTGCCCCTTTTGACATCAAATACAGCTTGAAGTCTTTTGTGGTAGTTGTGCCATTCTTCTTGGCAAAAAGCCTCCATGCAGGGGTAAATTCTTGGGCTGTCTTCCATGAACTGCATGTTTGAGATCTTCCCAAAGTGGCTCAATGATATTGAGGTCAGGAGACTGAGATGGCCACTCCAGAACCTTCACTTTTTTCTGCTGTAGCCAATGACATGTCGACTTGGCCTTGTGTTTTGGATCATTGTCATGTTGGAACTTCCAAGTACACCCCATGCTCAGCTTCCGGGCTGATGAGTGCAAATTTTCCTCCAGTATTTTCTAATAACATGCTGCATTCATCTTGCCATCAATTTTGACCAAGTTGCCTGTGCCTTTGTAGCTCACACAACATCAGCGAGCCACCTCCGTGTTTCACAGTAGGAATGATGTACTTTTCATCATAGGCCTTGTTGACTCGTCTCCAAATGTAGCGTTTATGGTTGTGGCCAAAAAGTTCCAATTTGGTGTCATCACTCCATAACTTTGTTCCAGACGTTTTGAGGCTTGTCTCTGTGCTGTTTGGCGTATTGTAAACGGGCTGCTTTGTGGTATTGGCGTAGTAATGGCTTTCTTCTGGTGACTTGACCATGCAGCCCATTTTTCTTCAAGTGCCTCCTTATTGTGCATCTTGAAACAGCCACACCACTTGTTTTCAGTCCTGTATGTAAGCTGAAGTTATTAGTGTGTTTTTCTTTGCATCCTGAACAATTTTCCTGGCAGTTGTGGCTGAAATTTTTGTTGGTCTACCTATCTGACCATGGCTTGGTTTCAACAGAATCCCTAATTAGAGTTTGAACACTGCTAATACGGCATTCTCAAATCCTTGGATATCTTTTTATATCCTTTTCCGGTTTTATATAGTTCAACTACCTTCTCCCGCAGATCCTTTGATAATTATTTTGCTTTCCCCATGGCAACAGCAACGTCAGTGCAGCACTGGATGAAACATGCAGGGGTCTGTCAGGAGCCCAGAAACTCACTGACTTTTCATACACACACACACTGATTACAAGCAAACAGCTCACAGGTGAGGCAGGTTACCTTCAGTAGCCATTTAGACCCGTGTGTGTCAACTTGTGTGTACGTTATCTGGCCAAAACCTCCAGGGTATGTAAACGTTTGATCAGGGTAATTTGGGTAGTTTCTGTTGTTATTATGATTTAAAAAGAGCAAACACAATTGTTTGATAATAAATGGCTTCACCCAACCACTAACCATGAGTGAAAGAAACATTTTTGTATTATCATTCATATTCTCTGAAAAATTACCCAAAAAATCACAAATTTTAACAGGTATGTATGTCTGTATGTGTGTAGACATGTATGTTTATATAAATGTAGCGTCCACTTTCACTCTGAAAAAAAGCTGATGAGATTATTTTAGATCTTCATGATTTAGAGAATCAACAAACATAACTGTTGGTATGTTTGTTTGGTTTGGTCTGATTGTGATTATTTCCTCGATGGATGCTGCTGTCCTTCATTTCGACCTCTGACCTGATGCAGACTGTGGATTCTTTCTGAATCAGTGCGACAACTGGGACATTTTGGCATACTGAGGATCTCGCATTTGTTCACATACTGCATAGCGGCCAAATCAGTATAGTATAGCCAAATCCAAGTATAGTAGGAAGTTTCTAAAATGGCCCCTTTGTGTACATTCTGTGTGTGGCTTCCAATGAAGTACTGTACAAAACAAAAATCCTGCAATGTATCCCCATTTATTCTCATCAATTACCATCTTACAGATTAATTTACATACATGAGTCCAATCATAGCACGCAGGTCAAGATCATATGAAAAAAAAAACATATCCAGGATCAAAACTTGACTGTAGTGTTTTAAGAACATTAATGAAGTTATAGAGCTCAATAATTCACTCAGTCTGGAAGTATAGTTTGTAAAAACAAAGACATTCAGGTAAGAGCCAACATATTTTTTCTCTGAATCATCCAAACTTTTTGGACTTAAATCAAATATACCACGTATTCATCCACACTAAAATCCCTTCATTGCCAGATACTATCAACATAAATAACATAAAGGCATCACTATGTGATCTACAGTCCTCTTCAGGGTCTGACCTCCTGGGAGCCGCTGGTGGCTCTCTGTAACAGCTGGAGCATGATGGGGTAGATGGGAGCAAATTCCTTCCCTTGTCGAGCCCTAACAGACTGCACATAGGCCTCCAGAGCGCCCCTAAGAGGAAACCAAACAGTTCAGTTACACTATTAGGAACAGAATGCTAAAGACAAAGGGGGGAACAAATTCTGGACTTGCTAAGAGAATCTGATTTGCCATGTAAACAAAAGGTTCAAGACTGGTAGAAAACATTCCTTACAGGTATGCATGTTAATAGTTTATGTTGTCACACACATTCATGAAGACATTTTAAGTGTTACCTGAGGAGAGAGAGTCTGTCTCTCTCAGAGGGATGATCATCCAGCCACTGGGAGTAACGGGCGATCGACCACTCTGCTCTCTGCGGGGAGAAAGCTTGTTAAAAACAAGACATACTGAGGTATTTACAAGACCAAACAGCACGTGTGTGTGTGTGTACCTGGTGAGGGGACTTCAGCTCTGACGGGGCTCGGTTGAGGAGGAAGTGCAGCAGGGTGCTGTAAGGGATCAGCTCCCCCACAGCCGGACTGCTGGCTATGAGCTCGCTGGTCTGAAACAGCAGAGGTCTGGAACACCAAACATACAACACGTTTTTTAAACCTGAGGGGCTATGTAGGCGACCATTGAAAATACACTATAAACATGTAACCGGTAGATGCAGTGGTATTCAGTTTGGTGTCATAAAAGAGGAAATAAATCGGTAAATATTCATATTAGAGGAGCTGGGAAGCAGGGAATGTTTACCTGTTTTTTCTTTTTTTTTTAAATGTCTAAAATTGTTGATAGTAATTAAATAGTTTATAGTGAAATTCATGATTTTACTTGTAAATGAGGAGATTTTTTTTTTTACAACAAATCAAACTGATATTAGATTCACGCTTTGCTATTTGATTGAAAGCGCAGTTTTCAAACTGTTTAAAAGACACACTATAAGATCTCCGGGTCCTAACAGTGTGATGTCGCTCGCTGCAACCGTTCCAAATTTCACACTCTGCTTTGCAAATGTCATGTGGTGCTTTTATTTTGATGGTGGACAAACTGACGTGTGGTGCATTTTATCGACGAGCTGTTCAGTAAAATCACAACAGAACAGAAGAAACGTCTGAATAAGGGCTTTTCTCCGGTGTTGACAAAGGTCAAAGGTCAACATTTCAATCATGATGTGGACACTATCAATGATCTGTTATCGCCACGTTTTAAAACAAGGTCACAAGCTCTGTTGAGCGGGAAAAGCGAGTGCCAGCGCCTTGTAGAGCCCCCTCCTTCCTGTTGCTCGTTCGTCGCGAGCGTAAATAGAAACAGGGCGACGGGGATAAAACGACGCCGCACTGCAGGAAACAATAGAATCAAGCTGACTTTGGCATGTGCTGTTAGGACAGGCTGTTTGGTTAAATAATAATTTAGCTCTATAAGCAAAGAAGCACACAGCACAGATTTTATTTTCTAAAGTTATTATAATGATTTGATGTGTTGAATCGACCCTTCATCCTCACTGCCTCCTGTAAACACCACAATGTCTCTTTGAAGAAGTGTCGATGGAAGACACTTCACCTCCTCTTTGAGATAAAATCAAAGAGGACAAATGATTGTGACGAGTGTACACACCTGAAGGAGCGCAGCATTCTGTACGGTTTCCCCAAGTCGGAGACTCTCCTGCACAGAGGAGCCACCGCCATCTCCATCTGACACAGACAGGAACACACAATTCAGTCGTCCAACAAAAATCTGTTGGATGAGTTGGACGAAAAGTGACAGCATCTGGAACTTTCCAACACTTTCTCTCTCACCTGTGCAAAGTCGGCAGCGAGCCTCATCTTGCCGCCCTCCCCCAGCGGGCGCAGGAGGCTGGTGTGTCGGATGAACAGCTCGATGGCCCTCTGAGCGATGGCCTCCGTACTCTCGTAGATGAAGTCCACACACTGGAAGTGTCGGAAGTAGTCGGCCATCACTCTGCTGATGAAGCCCTGCAGCTCCTTCATGTAGAGGGAGCACGGGACATCCGGCTTATCGGGTGTGGACAGAGGCCTATGACAGAGACACACAGACAAAAATTAAAATTACACAAAACTCTGACACCTAGTGTTTAAAATGGGTACTGCAGTTCAAATTCCAAACATTGCAGAGAGCTGTGTCTCCCCCCGCCCCCTCCTCTCTAGAGTCGATGCTCACGCAGGTTGCCATGTGGTGGACACTGAAGCTTCAGTGTTTATCCAGCTCTGCATCGGTCTGTAAACCTTTCTGTGTTCTAACCTCTCTCCATTTTTCAAAAGCATCTCCAATATTGATCCTAGTTTGAGCACGTTTCTGCTCGTGGAGCTTATTAGAAACATGCAGAGGCTTTTTAGGTCGGGTACAATCACTTCTATCTGAACCACTTCTCTTGCCCGCTTCCATCACTGCAACACCTGTTGGTTTGACCTGATAACTGCTCTCATATCTGACAAACCGAGGGGCGTCCAAAACAGCCGTGTGGGGGTGCCTTAAAACCGCCTACCTTCTCTGGTCCAAACAAATCCAGAGCATTCAGGAGCAGAATCTAAAGTTAGAAGGAGGACATACTGACTGCTGCATTGTTGTCAGAGAAGCCAGCACTTCAACATAGCATGTTTCCTTAATGTCTGATCATGTAGTAAGGTCACTTTATCATCTCACTCACTACTCATCTCACTGATTGGTCCTTTGAGCTCATTCTCTTTCTTCATAGCAAAGGCTTATTCTAGTCATTTTAAACCCTTGCACGACGTTACGTGTTTTTGTTTTAGGTACAAAAAGTTGAAGACTTGCTTGATTAGATTTCTTCCACTGGCACCAAAAGACCTGACAGCAAAAGCTGAACGATAATCCCTGCAAGAAAATGCAAGCTGATCAAAGAACATCCACTAAAGGTTTTATTGTTAGTCGGAAAGGCTTAAAAGCAGCAGTCGTGGATGGTGAAGCTTCCCAGTCTGATCTTTCTCATTGGATATTGCATGTTTCTGCATCCTGCTCCATCGTGTTTATGTCTTACAGTCCAGGAGGCTCGGTCACATCAGCGACATAAAGCCCTCACATCACATCTCTGGATCGTTAAGATTTATTATCAGTTTTCCATGAATCTTTGATGACCTTGGGGGGTTGAGGGGGGTGTGATTTGGAGAGAAAGAGCTTACCTTATATCCTTGAGAAGAGGGCGAACATAAGTTACAACACGTGTTATTAATAAATAAATACAAGTTTAGGTTTTAATGACAACATTTTACCACCAGGGAGCGCTGACAAGCTGCTCAGACCACGAGCATTCTCAGTGTGCGTCTCGGTCCCTGTTTAAAACTAAAAAACAAATCTGAGTGATGAAACCTAAGATCGTTTGTTTATATTATATATATGTTCACATGTTGTAGCAGCCTGGAGGTCTGTGTTTGTGAGCTCCACACGCTGAGCCTCCCAGAGAGACAGGACTCAAGCCAAAGGAATCAAATTTAATCACTTGGATTAATTCCTAAAACAGTTCTTCAAAGGTTCCTGCAGTGGCAACTCAATAAAGCTCACCCTGAAAAGTCCTCCTGGTGCAGCGTGATGATGATGGCCTCTATGGAGTCGCTGACGGACTGCAGGAGAGGCTGCACGGCGCTGCTCATCAGGGCCTGAACGTCCTGAAACACGAGAGAAACCAACAAACTGAGAAGCAACATTAACACCAAAGAAGAAGAAGAAGAAGAAGAGACTCCAAGTGGACACCTGACAGCAGCTTCACAGATCCTCTGAATCACATGAACTTTGCTGCTCATTACCTGTGTCTTAGAGGCTCCCTGTTGCCATAGCAACTTGTCTAGACATGTAAGCAGTAGGTACATATGGATGAGGTTGGATTTACATCTAAACTATAGAGTATAGCGGATAAGATGCACTATGAAATGGAGCCACTGACATCAACAAAAATGTAATATCTGATGTACTGGATTGTGTGTATGTGTGTGACTGACAGGTATTTCATGCTTTATAGTCTTTATGACTCCTGTTGGGCTCTGAGGACTGATGTGCAGCAGGAATAAAAAAAAAAATCAGTGGGTAGTTTATTGAGCAGATGTCAAAGGTGCAGGAAAATATCTGAATCAAAGACATTTCGAGGCGGCTGCTTGTGTGATGAATCTCTAAAAGATGCACACACGAGCACATTCACATTTCATATGCTTGAAAATAAGAAAGACTGAAACCCAGACAAAAATGTCCAAACTGTTCCTTAACCAAACGAGACCAAAACAAAGAAAAGATGAAATTGTGAGTATAAATATACACTTCACATCCCCTTTTTTGAATGATGATTACAGACTACCGCCCCCTGCTGGCATGGAGAGTTATTGCCTCTCACGCCTGCGCAGACGAGGTTGGCCGTCGGCTGTAGTCTTTGTGGTGTGTTCTAGTGCAAATTTTTGGCCAAGACAGTCGGCCTTTGTCGTCTGCTCGGTGAGTCAGGGCCTTAAAGGGCATGCTGTCCCCTTGTGGTTATGGTTTGTGCGGGTATGGGTTGGTTGGGGGGATAGTTGTAACAGATTGCATGATGTATACCATGAAAGTACAAATTGAAAGTCATTAAAAATAAAATAGGTCAGGCACACTTATTAAGATTCTCCACCGAGGATTCAATCATCAAACATGGAGGTCATATCTTTCTAATTGAGCGTCAGGCGTTCAAGAAAACATTGTTCCCTGTGTTAATGTTACAGTGAGATCACACAGATTCAGTACAAAACCAGAAGAACAAAGATGGATGCAAGAACATGAGGGTAATCAATCAATCAAATGTAAATATGAGTGACAAAAAAAGAAGGTTGCTTTGATACCTCTAAAGAAGAAGAGAGGGCCTCTGCAGCAGCTGCCGGACTCGAACCCAATCCTGAGATGATCTGCAGAAACACAACACACAGAGGTCAGAGGTCAACAGGTCACAAAAAGTCCTTTATATCTATATGAAGAAAAAACTGAGACCTCCGACTGTTCCAGTTTGACCCGATTGTAACAAACCACTCTAAATGTTTGCATCTTAAAGGAGCAGTATGTAACTCTGACACCTAGTGGTTAAAATGGGTACTGCAGTCCAAATTCTAAACATTGTAGAGAGCTGTCTCCCCCCACCCCCTCCTCTCTAGAGTCGCAGGTTGCCATGTGGTGGACACTGAAGCTTCAGTGTTTATCCAGCTCTGCATGGGTCTGTAAAACTTTCTGTGTTCTAACCTCTCTCCATTTTTCAAAAGCATCTCCAATATTGATCCTAGTTTGAGCACGTTTCTGCTCGTGGAGCTCATTAGAAAAACTCAGTGATGATGAACAGAGAGAGTCTGCTGTGGTTACTTCCTGCAGGTCGGTTGGATTGAAGTCGGTTCATGTTCTTATTACAAACAAACCGCACAAGAGGACAGAGAGCCCCCTTTTCAAGTGGTCTCTCTGAACAGTTGTTTGGTGGACACCAGGGTTTGATGGACAGCTTCCACACCGACTCGAGTTCGTTTTAACCGAACCAAAGAGGTGAGGTGTGAAAACGTACCTTTAACTGTGCGTCATTGTATTTGTATTTAATCTTGCAGAGCCTGAAAACAAATCTCTCCTGACTCTTCACTGACACTAAGTATGTGTGAAGGTGTCATCGAGAAGAAGACGGTCACCTCTGGTGTCGCTGTGCGAGGATAACGACATCGGCTATTTCTGCAGGATTTTTTAATCCATGTTGAAATTCACTGCTTGTAGTCGAAGCTCATGGCATTTGTTTCTGATTCTTATTTCAGATCCAGATGCTAAAAGGTGATCTTCAATATGAAACACAATAATGGAGATGAAGATTGGTGTTACAAAGATGCCTGACTGATGCTTAAATACACCGAAACATCCTGCATCCATTACTGTACTAATCTACTATTAACAGCCTCTCTTTGTCCTCCATCCTTCTCCCCGCCCGCCTGACATAAATCCTCTCTCTGTGTTCACACAGTGAAATTTTAAAGGCTGGCCGTTAAATATTTAATGCCGCAGTAATCTGTTTTTTAATGCTATTAATCAGGCCAGCTGCTGTGCCAGGACTCGGCATACATCTTTAATGGAGGAAGCTGAGAACACACTGCACCCTGCCTGCTTTTCCTTTCATCCCCCTTTAATTTCCTCTGCTTCCTTTTCACAGACAGCCATGTTCAATAATCCAAACACAGGCACACAGGCACAGAGGCAGGCAGAGAAGTGTGTGTGTGACATGTTGGAGCACTCACTGTCACACCTGTTGACAGTCTTTCGGAAGAGAAATGACGTTTACTACTCGATTAATTAATCATTGCAAACGAGAACAAAATAATACAAAAGCTGCCAACAAGAAGCTAATTAAACCATGTTCATCGTTCTCTTTGAAATCACTTTAAACAGCTGACCCAAGAAGTTAGCGACTCCTCCTTTGCAAGTATAAAAACTCAGGTTAAAGGTCACATATCCTCCTCCTCTTCAATCAGTTTAAATAAGTCTCAGAGCTCCTCAAAACATGTATGTGAATTGTCTTGTTCTAAATCCACTCTGATCCTGTATTTGATCATGTCTATAAACCCTCTATTTCAGCCCTGATCAGAATAGGCTGTTTCTGTGTCTGTACCTGTAAATATGTAAATGAGCTGTGTCAGACCACGCCCCCTCTCTGGAAGGGCTTGGGTGTCTCTGGCTTTCTCGCTCCATGTCCTATTGTTTACAGTGAGAAGGCAGACTCAGAGGGCAGAACAAACACCTAGCTGTGGGAGTGTCACCCACCTGGGGGAGGGGTTACTGCCCTTTGTGATGTCATGAAGGGAAACTCTCCAAACAGCCTGTTTGAGCACACATTTCCTGAAAAGTGGAGCAGACAGAAGACGGAGAGGATGGACTTTTCTCATCATTGGGGGGTTTGTAGAAAGACTAGGGACACATACTAGCTAGAGGAACATGGTGAAGTGGATTTTACAGAATATGTGACCTTTAATGCAGCACCATTCAAACGCATGCAGACTCAGATTCAGTGTATCTGCTTTCATATCCTTCAACAGCGCTACAATTACAGTACATGTTGATTTCCTGTTTAGATAATCACAGAAAAATAACTCCACATTCTGCCAACTTTTTCTAAAAGCATTTATTGTTTCAGACATTTTCGAGCAGAAGTGTCAACTACTCGCAGATTCCAGAATCACAGTGTTGTTGCTTTTCTTGATTTTATGACAGTTAGTTGGAGCTTGTTCAGTTTTGGACAGTTTGCTGGAAATAAAAACAACGTCTCTATGGATTCACATTATTTGGACATTTTAGAGGCTATATAATCACCTACTGTAGAGAGAAGAAGAAATGCCTGCACACTTGCTCGAATGCCACAAAAAGTTTTTCTTAAAGTTTTCCACCAGAGGATAGATGGCTTTGATTAAATAAAGGAAATGAATCCCATAAGTGAGTGCAGTAACTTTAAATGAGTGCAGCTCAGGTAACTGACAACCAAGTAGTCTGTTAAGATATAAAAATATAGAAACGCAGGATTTGATTAGATTTTTGCACCATGTCTGATGATAAAGAAACACTTGGTCAGAAAACAAGCTAGTTTTAAAGGTCCTGTATGAAGTATCTGTCTCAGCTGCTCACCTTTGCCACGGCCTGCTGCAGACGGTACAGAGAGTTCACCACGGCGACGTTCCTCCTCTGACCCTCGGTTAACGGACCGATCACCTGACTGCCATCGCCCTGAGTACTCAGCTGCACACGGAGAGAGTCAGACATGCAATAGATTAGTGAATGGACTGAAATTATCCAACACTTATATTCTACTTTAAACAGACCAAACACACACACACACCTTTGGCTGAGCAACCCTGCAGGTAATGATCGCTTTAGATCACTTTTTAATCTTTATTTAACTATTTTATTTTTTATGGACAGAAGGTGTTTTCACGCAGGATTGCTCCCCCCTCCCCTCTCCGTCTGATACAGCAGGGGGCGGTATGCACATAGTTGTTGTATTTTTTTTTTTAAGCTATATTTTGGGGCTTTTTGTGCCTTTATAAGAGATAGGACAGTGGATAGAGTTGGAAATCAGGGAGAGAGAGAGAGTTTGGAACAATATGCGGGAAAGGAGCCACAGGTGGGATTCTAACCTGGGCCATCCGCTTGGAAGACTATAGCCTCCATACATGGGGCGCACGCACCAAACACTGTGCCACCAGCGCCTCCGGTATGCACATAGTTGGTTTGCAAATCCGCCAAGAAGCAGAAAGAAGAAAGAAGTAGCAACCATGGCAACCACTCGTGAGTGTCTGTCCTGCTAACTGTGGATGGTTTCAACACACACACACACACACACACACACACACACACACACACACACACACACACACACACACACACACACACACACACACACACACACACACACACACACACACACACACACACACACACACACACACACACACACACACACACACACACACACACACACACACACACACACACACACACACACACACACACACACACACACACACACACACACAGCAGTACGTACCAGCTGTTCAGACTTGACACAGAAGAGTTGGACGGTCTTTGCAGCGTTCTTTGCCACAGCCAGAGAAAGGTTTGGATCCACTGACGCTACATTCAACTCACTGCAACACATAACATTATTTTATAATCTGGTTATTTATGATACACAGGAAGCAGGCAGCGTGTTCGGAGTCTGACACTATGATCAAAGATCCTGCCTTCATATCAACGCTACAGCTAACTCGACGTGTTCACAGTGTGAGCGCAGAGCGGAAACAGAAGTAAGTGGCGAGCAGGAGAACAGAGAGTGTGAAGCGGCTTCAATACGCTCGAGATCGAACCGGTGGCAGGATATGACAATCAACACTCCACCCACACGCTCCAGGTGAACTTCCTGAATGCTTCCTGCTGCGTTCACGCTCACTTCGACTTCTTGCAGAAATCTTTCCAGGAGGTCGGCAGGAAAACATTCGGACGCGGTAAGGGAAAAAATAATCAGCCGTTTGCGTTCACACATGCAGCAGGAGTGCAGCGCGCGAAAGAGGCTGCTGACGTCTAAACGGCTAAATCCAGTTCTCCTATTTACGGGTGGTGCTCACTTTTCTGCCTGAATAAATCCTGTCGGTGTGAATTATTTATTTTCCTTAATTTCAACCAAAATTAAGAAATAAAAGTCTCCAACTACGACTGTCAGGTTGCGGTTAAGCTCTGAAGTTAAAGGATACATTTCTTTACATTGCATTAATCTGCAAAGCTATTTTGTCCCTCCAGACTCTCCGTAGATAGTGGTCCTCAGTGTCTCCCGGTAGTCTCAGTGATGTAAAACTCACTTCACTTTAACAAACTCTCAGACAGCTCAGTTTACGAGTCCAAAGTAATATCCACCTCATGACATCACACATTGACCTTTGTTACCGTTCCTTTGAGCTGTTTGCGGTGGCGATTTGTGAGTCTATTGGGGCCCGAGGCAAAAAGTGTATACAACCAGCATTCATCACCATCTTGTCTGAATGACTCAGCTTAAGACGGCACAAAGATACTAAATAAAACAGGAACTCTTCTGAAATGCAAAATGATGGAATTTCAAACATGCCACAGAACAAAATAAAAAAAATGTTTGACAGCCCTAGTGTTAACACTTTCAAACAGCAGGCAGTCGTCTGTTCTGCACTCGCCTGCTGATGGTCTTGATGATGCTGTCCAGCTCATCGTTGGACGGCGGGTTGCGGCCGCCCATTGGGAACACGAGGTTGATGGGATCGAACAGACGAGAGAGGGACTTGGAGAGGTATGCCGCCTCGTACGGCTGCAGAGAGTCCTTCAGAGCCTTCTCTGGGCTACACACACACACACACACACACACACACACACACACACACACACACACACACACACACACACACACACACACACACACACACACACAACACACACACACACACACACACACACACACACACACACACACACACACACACACACACACACACACACACACACACACACACACACACACACACACACACACACACACACACACACACACACACACACACACACACACACACACACACACACACAAAGAGAGAGACGTGTAAAACATTCAAACAGCACTGAGACGACACAGGGAGCGGGTAGAGACGTTAACTGTGAGGTAGCCTTTAAAAACGTAACACTCTGAATCCATCATGATGTCATTATGAGTTATGAAACCAACAATCAGTTCACTCTCTCATGTTGACATTCTGAGTAACATCCTCTAACTGGTTTTAATATCTGAGCTGACATTTATTAACGGAGCACTTCAACTGCTGAATGCCGCCATGTCTCATCCCGCCACTTTACAGTGCAGAGGAGTGTGTGTGTGTGTATTTCTGTTTGTGTGTGTCTGAGTGTTTCTGTGTTTCTGTGTGTGTGTGTGTGTGTGTGTGTGTGTGTGTGAACGAACATCATTGTTACAAGAACAGGAAGATGTTAAATCATTCAGTTTATGAGAAATGAAAAGATTGATGACTCAACTGAACGTTTCTGATCTGTGGTGAGGCTCAGGTGTGTTTTTCACATTCTGTATTATAAAAGGTACTCAGGTATTTTCTTAAATCTGGGCTCCATTTTTCACATGTTTTGGTATTTCTACAGCTGATTGTTTCAGCTGACATCACGGAGACAGGACTGGATGGGTTTATTTCACATTTTGTGGGTCGGTAGACACTCAGGTTACCCAAATATATGTTCACAAACACTGTACCAGTGTCGCCTTTAAAAGAAAACTACAAATAAGAATATTCCTCACTTTGTAAACACGAGGACTGAGGAGTGAGGGAGTTGCTGTAAACCCTGCTTAGATAAACACCACCTGCTTTGACTCCAGAGATCCTCTTAAGGTTCAAAAGAGCTTCTATATTCAAAACTGAACTTGCAACTGAAGTGTTAAAACAAACAAAGAATAAATATGCTCCAAAATAAACGTTCACACCGCGTTTCACAGCAAACAAACGTGTGATCACACCCTGAAGTGACTCCGATTGTGTGGCTTCCTGTGCGCTTTGCTCACTTGTAGTCCTGTTTTCCGTGTGTGAACAGGTCCTGGCTGTCCGTCTCTGCGCTGCTTATATCCAGGGACACGTCCATCCCTCCACCGCCGCTGCTGCTCAGCGCCCCCTGCAGGCTGTTGCTGTACTGCTGCAGGCGTCGCCACAGCTCGTTGTAGAGTCGCAGCAGCTTGGGGTACTCTCCTTCAAACGCCTGCTTCAGGAAGGACGAGGCTGGAGACACAAGATGAGGCAGATAAAGTGAGTGAGGGAATTTCACACTGAGATAAAATTGAGAGGAAAGTCAAAAAGGAATCTCGTGGAAAAAAAAACAACTTCACATTTATTTTTTTTCCTGGGAAAGTTTGTAAAAAAGCCTCCTAGTGTTTTTTCCGCAGCAAGTCCAAGTGAACTGATGTGAGAACGCAGCAGGATATTCTCGGCTGTCCGACACCACATGAATGCAGCGTTAAGTATGGGAAGTTTTCTGGTTTCAGGTTGTAGTGCGTACATTTCAGCCGGTTTTGGTGTATGCCGGAAAAACGGTCAGTAGGAAAAAAAATACCGTCATGACATCCCGGCTCTAATCAGCGTTAATCTGATGATGATTTATTTATCTCTATAAACAGATATCTGCATGTGAGGGCAGCTCACAATCTGTTGTAATCTGCTTGATGTTGTGTCACAAAAAGTCGATCAGCGTTTAGATTTCCTGAGCTGCTTGAACCTCCATTAAACAAAACAAACATTTTAAAGGAGATCTATTTTACTCACTGTCACCATTAATGATGTCAGTCTGGGATATCTACTGAGTGACGGGTGAGTTGAGTTCATGATAAACTTTAAGGATTCATCCACTGTGTAAGGAATGATCTGCAATAAATATACAAATATACTTCTACAGAATATCAGTCACACGACAAAAAACACCTCACTGTCTCTTCCAGAATATCTTTACAAGAAAGCGCACACACACACACACACACACACACACACACACACACACACACACACACACACACACACACACACACACACACACACACACACACACACACACACACACACACACACACACACACACACACACACACACACACACACACACACACACACACACACACACACACACACACACACACACACACACACACACACACACACACACACACAGCCAAATCCGCCTCTCCTGTTCTCACTTTGTTATTCTCTGTAATCAGACGACTCTCAGACGCCTCCAAATGATCTGTGAGTGTGTGAGAGGAGAGTGAGCTATTGTCAGTATGATTACGTCTTTCTTCTTTCTGAGTCTTTCTCATAAAACATCCACTCGTGGACGCCTGTGTCAACTTGTTTATTCTTCGACTGTTTTGCACGGTTTTCATTTCGTTCGCTTTGCTTCACAATCGATCGTAGCGAGCCCGCTTGAAAAGGGAAACAAGAGCGTGATGGTTGTTGATCAGAGAGGTGAAACAAACAATCAAGCCACCATTTAGAAACCGTTACAAACAGTTCAATTCCGCACACTTCGCTCTACTACACAGTCCCTCTGACTGATTGTTACAATCAGTCTCTGCGTTTCAGCAGGAGAAGACATGTAGAAGTGCATGGATATAAAATCAGGTTCTCTTTAGATTCCCTTCAGCGCGTGTTGTTAAATGTTGGTTAAGTGTTGAAGGGGTTCCACCGCGCAGGGTGTGTCTGCAATAGTGTCATAGTCAAGACCACACTAACTGAGACCAAGACAAATCCGAGACCAGAGTGCTCCAAGACTGAGACATTTAGGGATAGAGACCGAGACTAGACCGAGACAAGACCGAGACTTCCCGAGACCAGAGTGCTCCGAGACAAGACCGAGACATTTAAGAATCCATACTGAGTCAAGACCAAGACCGTAAATATCACTGAAAAATCCTCATCTTGTCTGCAGGGGGGGGGGCGTTTCACTCGCTTCTTGATCTTGATTTAAAATCCGGAGACAAGCCCGAGTAAAAATCTTTTTTTCCCCGCCTGTTCTGATGAAACGTGGACCGAAACTGGAAGCAGAGAAGAAAAAGCTTCAGCGTTACCTTCGGTGGCTCTGTGAAACTCCTCACTCAGTGTGCTGGTCACATCGTTCCAGAAGGTGTAGAGGATGTCAGGCTGCCCGTCCTGTCCACAGGTAAACACAGAACAAACACCATGATTAGCATTTTTATTAAAGCTTGTTGTGCTAAAAGGTGTGTGGTGTCAGAAGCTGCATCACAAATCTGCAATGTAGATGGACCAGAGAACAGAAGTTCAGCTTTGGTGTCAATGTGTTGCTGAAGGAGCCTGCCTAACGATGATGCATTAATTACATAATGTGACTGGACGTGTGTGTCTGTTTATTGTCCTCTAATCCGTCATTAGTGCGGCCTGCTGCGGCTGCGGCTGCCGCTCAGCTGTCTGACCTCTACCTCCATCACATCTGTCACCTCCTCACTTCACTTTCTGCACCTTCACTTCAATCAATCCATTTCAAGACTGACGACGGCTCGAACCCGAATCTCTGCAGCCGGCTCCTTTCCGGTGCATTCTTTTCTTAGATTTATTGCACACCAATTCGGACAAACTTGCACACAGACTCTCAAGCGTTATGTTAAGAATTTGTTTCGAAAAAAAAAATGAATTGAGAAACCAGTGGTGGATGTCTATTTTTTACACAGCCTATGGTTACTATGCAGAAAAAGAAAGAGGTGTGGACGGGTCTAACAGCTGCTTCTGAATGTGAGCGATGGTCCTCTAACCCTCCGCTTCTATGCCTAACAAAACCTCATCTCGCTCATTAGGAGTTACAGCTCATGTGTCACGTCTCAGGCGTCCAGGCGTCTTCTCTTGTAATTATATTTATATTGCAGCAGCTTGTCTGTCAGCGGAGCATCATGTAAGTCTCACGGTTTTATTTTTCTCTCCTGTGGACACGCAGCGCTCCGATCCATGACACTGAGCAGTAAGACTGCAGCAGCACTGTGCGAGGAGCTGTGCATTTAGACATGTCATTAGGTCCCCCGCTCACACCTCCATCTCGGGGTAATTGGTGAGAGCTTGGTTTCCATAGTAACAGCCACCAGCTCTGATTTGTGCATCTGGCTTTCAGTGGAGGTACGAGAGTGAGGCGCTGATGGTGGTCTTGATAACGTGTTAAAGACTGACATGAGCTCCTACTACGACTTTAAACCCCCGGAGCGAAACACTTTCTGCTTTTTTGCTTTCTTCTCCACAGAACCATCTTCCCCATACACAACAATGTCAACTTTTAAAGGTCCGATCAGTGAGATGTATAGTGAGTGAAATGATAAAGTGACCTGACTATATGATCAGACATTAAGGAAACATGCTATGTTGAAGTGCTGGCTTCTCTGACAACAATGCAGCAGCCAGTATGTCCTCCTTCTAACTTTAGATTCTGCTCCTGAATGCTCTGGATTTGTTTGGACCAGAGAAGGTAGGCGGTTTTAAGGCCCCCCCCCACACGACCGTTTTGGACACCCCTCAGTTTGTCAGATATGAGAGCAGTTATCAGGTCAAACCAACAGGTGTTGCAGCGATGGAAGCGGGCAAGAGAAGTGGTTCAGATAGAAGTGATTGTACCCGACCTAAAAAGCCTCTGCATGTTTCTAATAAGCTCCACGAGCAGAAACGTGCTCAAACTAGGATCAATATTGGAGATGCTTTTTGAAAAATGGAGAGAGGTTAGAACACAGAAAGGTTTACAGACCGATGCAGAGCTGGATAAACACTTAAGCTTCAGTGTCCACCACATGGCAACCTGTGTGAGCATCGACTCTAGAGAGGAGGGGGTGGGGGGAGACAGCTCTCTACAATGTGAAGAATTTGGACTGCAGTACCCACTTTAAACATCAGGGTTACATACTGCTCCTTTAACGACAGTGTCCTGCACCCTTATTTCATTTTGTGTTATATGTCAAAATCTAATTGAAAAGCTGTCACACACACAGTCTGATGTTTAATCTGTACTTGACGGCTCGTAGAGGAAGCAGAGTGTGAGAACATGTGCAGATATTTGACTGGAGTCCTGATTGCAGATATAATTACCACTTCCACAGAAAGAGCAGAGGTGTCCACCCACCTTGATGATCTCATCGATGAAGCACACGTGAGTGACGGGGTCTCTCTTCTTCGTGAGAACCTTCTGCAGATGTTGCACCTGGAAAATCAATTCATCAGTCTACCGAATGAGACTTCAAACCTGATTCATCCGTGCTGTTTTTATAAACACTGCCTGTGCAGTAAGTTAGCGCTCTGCTGCGTGCTCACCTGTCTGCATGAGGCACAAATCTGGTCCATCAGTTTCTCCAGGTTGGTCCACAGAGCTGCGCGGAAAGCTGCCGTGTTTCCGGGCGTGGGCAGCACCGCTCTGCCTGGTGCACCTGCAGGGGGGGGGGGGGAATCAGAGAGCTGTCACCTTTTGTGTGTTTGTTTGTGTGCAATCACAACCATCCTTCAAAAACCAAATGCAGGACGCAGGAGAATTAGTAAAATGCCTCTGACTTTTGTTAAAGGCTGTTTTTTGGCCTCAGAACTAGATAGAATAGATAGGGAAGAAAGTGAGAATGGTAGTTCCCATGCCTGTCACATTTATCATGTTTAACTATCCCTAACAAAGCTGACCTCCTGGACCCTGTCTGTGAGGGATCTTACTGTTTTTGCAATAACTGACTCTTTAGAAGCCTTCATTCTTTTTGCAGTGGAAAGTTAAGGCTTCGTTCTTCGAATACACCCAACTACACGATATGACACGATCGCCAATTTGCCAAAGGGATCTTAAAAACAGGGAGGTGAGAAAGATCTTGTAGATCGAAACGTTGCCCTGGTTAAATAAAATTGCCTAGTTAGTAAATTCCTTGTCCTGCCCTTGTAACCCTTTTCCACCAAAGTGAACCCAGGTCTAGTTCTAGGCTGGTGCTAGTGCTAGATGCGAACCAGTTTCAAACAACAAAAGAGTCACGTCATTATGTCACTCAATACGTCTTTGCTTTCCCGGCAACACTTGCACACCGTCTTCAATGAAAGACGAACAAACAAACGGAGGACTGCAGCGTCTCGTTCCATGTTTTGCTCCTGGATTTGTAAACCTGCTTCTGCATTCAAACACGACAGGTCCAAAGGATTTGTTCTGCTCGTCACGATAGATGTGGATTACGTTTCGAGCAGATTATACTTTATAAACGTTAACCGGTCCGTACCTGAGGTGGTCACAACAAAGTTTTGATTGCTTCTATTTTGGTCACAATAACCTCTGCCCCTGATGTAAGTGGTTCTCTCTTGTAGACCAGCAAGGCGTTGGTGCAAAGAACTGGTGCAGGATCAGGTCCTGGTTCTGACACATCCCTGGACTTGGCTCGCTTTCAAAGAGCGGCTCTTGCATGTTTTTTTGTTCCTACTTACAATTTTATTGTTGTTATTATTATTTTGGTAAGTTTAGAGAAGCTCATCGTAACCGTTCTGCTTGAAAGCAGTTGTACCACATAAACTCAAATACTTGTTGTGTTTTTTTCATTTTCATGGGGCGATGGTGGCCGAGTGGTTAGTGCGCGTGCCGACAGAGGCTGTAGTCCTCAAAGTGGGTGGCCCAGGTTCAAATCCAACCTGTGGCTCCTTTCCTGTTTCCGTGTCGTCCTGTCTCGATGATTAAGGCATAAAAAGCCCTGCAGGTTATTTTCATTTGGACTGCACATGTGGTTTAAAACGCGCTCTAAGCACTGGGGGCGGCCGCTATTTAGCCACAGGAAATCATCATTTGCATAATCCTGTTTCAAAAAATCTAAAATTAAAACCATAATAACTGCTGCATGATTAACGTGACTTACAAAACCTCAAGGTTGACGACTGTCCAAGAAATTACACAACACTAAGCAAAAATACGGAGATGGGCCGCCATGCATTTCTGATGTAGATGTAACTATCAGAAGCTCGATGCTTCGATGCCGATCCAAAAATGAGAATATTAATTTTTATACTGATGCATTTAATCCCGTTTAAGGAAGATTGTGCGACATGTTACACATAAATATATCAGAGATCAGGTCTATCCTGTGTAAATGTCTCTCTGAGTCATGACTGTCTACAATGAGTGAGAAGCTCGAGTCCCGTTGGCTGTGTTGTTGTCAGAGCCGTGTTTACATGGACGGGACGGCCGGCTCCTCCCCCTTGTGTATAAAAACTGTTTTAGTGAAGGACTAAAGAGAAGAAGAAGAACATACTCACGGATTATTTGGATGTCACATAAGAGTTTTTAGATCACGCTCATTCTGTGTCAGTTTACATGCAATGTGAAGCTACAAGCTAACTAAAGAGCGCTAGCATTAGCATGCTAACACAACAATGCAGGACAAAGGTGATTGCAGCTCGAGCAGAGGACAATTTTGTCCGCCGCTTGCGCTTACTGGTGCTTAATGATGGCGTGTTCTAATTCCTAACTCCTTCATGTGAACGTGAGGAGAGGGGGGTTGGAGGTGCGTCTCTGGAGGAGATGGAGGAGGTGTGGCCAAACCGCAGTTTGTTTTGGTTTTCATGCTGGTGCTCAAGGGCGACATCTACTGGATGAAAAAGTCTCACATTCTTCCTTTAGTGTACTTCTTTGGAAAGATTATAAAACTCCTGTGTGGTTCTTTTCTGGAGAGGGGAGATTTTGTTTTAGTCGCATACAAAGAAATCTGTTGTTCTGGATTATTTTATGATTATGATCAGGCGCTTTCTTTAAGGATCCTTATTGTTAAAAGATCCTGAAAACTCGTTTTGTTCTTTGTTCAGATTTTATTCAAAGATATAAAACATCTGAAGAATCTGAGGCTTAATCACGACGGGTTATCTGAAAACACTGTGTGCATTAATCAGAACAATGATTTCTGTGCTTCATGAAAGACGTGAAAATAACAGACTCCCTCCTGCCACGACTGCCTATCCTCTGCGGTCGTGGTTTAATAATCTATTTTAGATGAACTGGGTCGAATCATAAAAGGCTTTTGTCTCTCGTCTGTTAGAAACAAGGACGACGAGATTAAACTCTCCTCCTCTGAGCTCTCTTACCTCTGGTGTTAGCCGGCTGCGTCAGACCCTTGATGTCCAGAGCGCTGCTGATGTTGTCCTGTATGCTGGTCCTGTAGCCCCCCACCACGGAGCTGATGGTCTCTCTCAGACTGCCCAGGTTATAGAACACCTGCAGGGCTGTGCCCACCTGGGTCGGATTCTGAACGATATCGGAGAAAGAGAAAGATGCGTGCAGGATGAGAGATAATAAAATGGGATCAACTTAATGGATTTGGCATTTTAACGTGTTTGAAGTCAGTAAGTACAAACAGCTAAAGATACACAAGAGGAGAGGAGAGGAGAGGGGAAGAGAAGAGAGGACAGGAGAGGGGAAGAGAGGAGAGGAGAGGAGAGGGGAAGAGAGGAGAGGAGAGGAGAGGAGAGGATACCCGAGGGAAGAAGACAAGTGGAGACCAGAGGAGAGGAGACTAAAGTAGACCTGAGGGAAGGAGACAAGTGGAGACCAGAGGATAGGAGACAAGTTGAGACCAGAGGGAAGGAGACTAGAGGTGACCAGAGGAGATGAGATGAGAGAAGACCAGAGGAAAGGGGGCTAGAAAAGAGTAGACTTAGGAAGACAAGAGGAGACTAGAAGAGAGGAGACTTAAAGAAACCAGAGGACAGAGGACCAGAGGATCAGAGGACATCGGAGAAGAGAAAAGGACACTAGAGAGGAGAATAGAAGAGACCAGAGTAAACTGATATGTCACTGGCAAATTCACAGGAACATAAATACATAAAAGTTGATGAAACAAATCAATCTCAGAGGCTTCATATCATCAGGGCCTGAGCTTTTCAGGGGAAACTAAATTTAATCCCTTCATGTTCGACTTTCTGGAAAAGATCAGAGGCAAAGACTTCAATCCAGTTTCCCAATAACCGATTTATAGAGCGCATGTGAAGCTGTCGGGCCTTCTGCTAAACTTACATGTGAAGGGTCATTTTCGTCCTCTGACTTTGTGCACATCCTTAAAAGCGAATAAAGCATGTCTTTATTTGTCATTTTCTGATGAGTTGACGTATAAATGAGGATTTAAAAACGTGATAAATGTTTGATGACGCTGCGTTGCAGAGCCGCTCACTGAAACAGCTTCAGACACTGCATCGTTCCTTTTTTTTTTTTCTCAGTTTACAGAGGAGAGGAGTTTCTCTATGTGGGTCAGTTGTTCTCCCACTCAACAGATGACTGCAGGGTCTCTGCTGGCTCCGTCAGAGCGCCGAGGTGAAGTTCGCTCCCACACAGCCCGGGCAACGCGTCCAACCACTTACACAACATTCACAAGAAACGACTCTGATATAAGAGGCTCCATCTGAGTGTATACGCGGTGCATATGTGTGTGGATTTAAAGCCCCGCACACAAGCCACGACATCAAGTTGTTAGCGAAGGTTGCTCCAGCAGATAAAAATACTTCAGCTGAAGGTGGCGTGCACGGGGGGAGGAGAGAGGAGTGTGAGAGTGCGTGTGTCTAATTTTAGAAAACAGGTTTGTGTCAAGACGTCGGGGAAGGAACAAGCGACAAAGACTTTCTCCTGCTGCTTCACACTCAGCCACCTGCTCCACACACACGCACCCGTGTAACCCTCGACACCTTCACGGCACAAATATGACAAAACACAAACTCACAAGCTGGCACTTTCCAACACGTCCTGCACAAATGGTTAACATGGCAACCCTTACAGTGGCTTGTATGCTACCCCCACATCAAGAGTCAGGATGCCATCCTCGACGGTACACAAATCAATGACTAGGTCAGCATATTTCCATCTATGCAATTTCAACCGTCTCTGTCCTGTCAACGCCGAGTTTACCTCCAGTATTGAATACCGGAACTCGCTTCTCTCTGGTCTACCTCACAAGCTTCTCGATAATCTTCAACTGGTCCAGAACTCAGCTGCCTGCATATGACTGTAAGATTCTCCTTCTAACCTACCATGCACCTCTAAACCTCTCCCATACCTGCGCAGTGCACACCTAACCCGTACCCTCCGAGCTTCCTCCCACATCAAGATATATTATACTTGTAGAGCTCGGAAAAGGAAATCAAAACCACAAAATCGCAAAGAAATCAAACCAGAATTTCTCTGAATCTCTTTAAAGGATCATCCCTTAAACTCCCTGTCGAGTGTTTTCGTATTTATTCTCAGCATGTAGACAGGTGTGACGAGAAAAAACGCGAGACGTCCTGTGAAGTTCTCAGACCCTGGAGGTCAGACATGATGAGCTGCTGGTGGAGTGTAACACCTTCACGCTTCTGATCAACAACGTTTTAAATCTGTCTGTGGCTGCACGACATGCACGCGAGCAGAAACACGGCTGCAACACTCTCCTGGACGTACAGAATGTCATCATGGACACAGAGCAGACTGACACACACATCAAACACACGGGATAACACACTCTCTCTTTAATGGGACACTGTTCTCTGGAGATCGAGGCTTTCTGGGGCAGATGAAGGTCAGCTGAGCTCAGCGTTGAGTGTTTTCTCTCTAACATGGATTTAACAGATGACACACATTCGGAGCGTTCTACTATCGCCTGCTTGTTCTTTTGTTTCACTCAGAGCCAATCAGATAAAGACACCGAACGAAGGCCTGACTCTAAGACGTTGACCTTAGCTTGCAGGCTTTTCCACCTTGGAGTTTGGTGGGCATCTTTTTATTGGTAGGCATGTTTTTTATCACTTCATTTATTATTAATTGGTTTCAACAATAGCTCCAGCAACTATTTATAGCATATATTTGTGGCCAACTATTTAATTTACCAGCAAAAAAAAAATGACAATCCATCACATTGTGAGACCTCAAAGGGAAAAAAATCTCAGATTTCCATCCATCATCTATACTCTTTCCTGTTCAGTGTTGCGGGGGGCTGGAGCCAATCCCAGCTGTCATTGGGCGAGAGGCAGGGTTACACCCCGGACTGTTGCTTTGTAGATCCACATTGTTTTTTTTACGTCATGTCTTACCTCAGGAGACCTCCTACTGGGATATTCTCCTTCTGTGAGGTGCATGTGTGAACTATCAGATCAGGAGGATTTCAGGAGCAGTCCTCCTGAAATCCTCTAAATATTTTCAGTAGAGCAGACGTTAAAAACTGCTCGAGGTAAATCAGTGCAGGAACGGGTTAGTTAGCGTTACCCTAACTATGGGGGACTGGACTACTTTCCTATAGATTTTTAAGTAAACGTGGATGATAAATGTGGTTCAAAGATCTGAGTTGTGTTCCGTGTTGTTGGGGTTTACCTGGATCTCCATGCCCTGCTCCAGCAGCCTCTTGGCCTGGTTCTCCACCTCCAGCCGAGCTCTGCTGATCAGCAGCAGGTCGTTCTCGATCACCTCGATGCCGCTCAGATCCACACCTTGTGACAGGTAGTCTGGAGAAAGAAAACAGACACAAGAAGAGGATGAAATAAAATGAAATAAAAATGTAAACACACATCCAGCTGGTTTCATCACATCCGTAAGCGGGACTGAAGGAGCTCATGTGCAGTGGAGGCGACGCTGACACAGCCTCATGAGCAGGGGAACTTTACAACAACACTGATTGGACATGAACCGGGCCTGAGCACGGTTAGCTCTTGTACATCATGTCGTAAAACAACACATGAATGTCTTTACACGATCAGGAAGCATGCTTAGTTTACAAGACAGGCGGACTTAAAGAAAACTGCACATCAGAGAACAACTAAGAGAAAATGACAGATACTTTACTGACTTTGTGTCTTATTTTGAGTCATGTTAGTCAGACACAGACAGAACAGATTTCTCCATAATGAAGGCTGTCCACGTTGAGTACCCGTGCATGTGCTCCTGCATAAACAACTGTACCATGCCAAAGCACACCTCTCCCATCCGTGCCAGGGCCGAGGAAGTGTACCATGCTCGAGCACAGATCGGAGCCCTCACATTAGTCAAAGGACCTGGACTTTGAGGGGGAAGCGTGCTTAGGCACGGTACGGATTGCTTAGTGTGAGTGCGCCCTTAGATGACATGTTTCAAAGTGAATTTGTTTTCACATCACCCGTTAGCTCGCAGAGAATTTTCCAGAATATTTCCTGTGTTCACCCCGACTTCATGCAGAACTTTCCCTGTCCGCTGTCATTTCTTAAAATATTTTCAGATGCTTCATGAACCTAGAAATGTTTTCAACCAGAGATCGTGGTCACACGTAAGCTAAATACTCCAGTTTGAATATGTGACTTACAAACGTAGATATAAAAACAAAGAACAAACGTGATTAATCCATGAGCTTTGATTAAAAATATATTTACTCAGGTTATAAATGAACAACCCGCTTAGATCCTATGCAGCTCCTTTAAATGAGAATTAGTTTTTTTAAAATCATCTTTGTATCAGCGGCTCAATCTTTATTAACACTTCTCCCTCCTGATTAAATCATAATGTTTCTCTTTAATTTCATTTGCATCCCATTGACAGTCAAGCTGACAGCGGGACGAGTCAGCTTGACGGATTAGTCAGCAACACTTTTTTCAAGGAAGCACATCGCACTTCTGACTGCGTGTTAAACATTTCCAGAGCGGTTAGCCCCGGCTTTGTTTGTCCACCCACCTGCTGCGAGAAAAAAACCTGACAGAGCCTCGGAGGAAGAAATATCCACCTGCGCAGAAAGTGAAGCCTGTTTTAGGCTGATGTGGAAGTGAAACTGATCTGTTGGAACGCGATCATTTTTCATCCAACAAGTCGTGCACGCTTCAGCAAACACCGAAGCTGTACGATGATGATTCAATCAGCAGAGAGTCGACTGACACGACCTCTGCTGCTCACTTTCACTCGTTTCTCTCACCTTAAAGAGGCCCACAAAAAGCAAGAGGTTTTATTAGGACGCACGAGGAGGCGATCACAAAGTGTCTCCTCTGGAGTTTTTTCAGACAGTGACTCCGCAGCTCTGAACTCGTGTGGGAAGTTCATCAAGCCAGAAATGAGGAGACAAGCAGGGCCAGGTGGAAAGATGAGCAGGCGGAAACACGGAGACTCAGATGAGATCTGACGGGAGAAGACAGACGGCAGACAGTGTGTGTGTGTGTGTGTGTGTGTGTGTGTGTGTGACTAAACCGCGACCTGCTGGTGTAACCTCCTTCTGGCAGTATTGCACAACAGTCTGAAAATGTACGCAGAGCTAAAAGAAATCAGCGAATAGAGACCTCAAGATCTCATTCTCATCATTCAAAGCTAAAAATCTAAAGTCAACTCTTATTTCTTCGCTGTTTGGAGTCACACGGAAGCAGTCGCCATGCGAGTTATTTTTGAACTCAGCTTCGTCTTACACGCGACCTTGTCATCATTCTTAGATCAGTTATCTGTCACAGATTCCTCTCAGCGAATTCAGTAGCGAGTAATGAAGAAAAGGATGTTCCCATCATCAGCCCTCCCTACAAGGCTCTCTAAATTCGGGCCTTTCAGACAGGACGTGGTGGGCGCTGCACGCCGCTGTCGAGCGCACTCATTGTCTGTGCTGCGCCGCACCAGAGCGTATCTGTGCCCCGCTGAGCTGAGCGCAGTGCAAGGTCGTGATTGCCGTCCTTGCCCAAAACGTTTTTTCTTCTTAATAGGTTTAATAAGCTGGACAGAAAGACCGACCCAGACAGGAAGTCAGACACGAAACGCACAGAGCGTCCGGTCAATTACAAAATAAAACACAGTATACGGACTCCTGACCGTATATTCCATCACGTCACAACAACATTACGTCAAAACAGGCGCCAAACGAACAACATTATTCTCTTTATTCCCACGTGATCTTGTGAACCTGTGGACAGCCGCTCATGGATGCGCTCAAGCTCCAGAAACGGACCCAGCAGGGCAGGGCGGGCGCCTTCAAATGGTGGTGCTGAAGGAACGCAGCGTGCATGGACTATGTGGAAATTGGCAGTCACTTTTCATGAAGGAAAATGGAGGAAAACGTCATGTTGTTGTTCTGCAGAAGGTTGTGACCTTCAGTGAACTCAGTACACGAGTTCATGATTCAGTCCTGCAATCTCGTGCCGCCATTCCCACTCTCATTTAAGGGCAGCCACGACTTAATTTCCCTGAGTATACTGAGCTTCTTTCACACGAACATGTGTTGATAAATCAGGAGGGCAAAAAAAAGGTACAAGGAAGTCTGCCATGGTAAGACGAGGTGGATGCGAAATCAAACCATTTCAACATGCGAGCTGCGGATTTGTTTGCTCTTCTCCAGAGAAGAAACGGCGAGACAGAGATGTGAGAGTATTAAGAAGGCAGGTGGCGGGCTTAGGAACAGAGGAGCGAGGGAATTGGACAGAAGCCACGTTCAATTCAAAAGCAATCCGCTCGGAGCCGCCACCCCAGGAACAAAGCCCGCCAGACACCGGGATCGAACAGCTGAGCCCCCCGATCCCTCTGCTTGTTTAGATATGTGTGTTTGTGAGAGAGGGAGAGAGAGGTTGATTTCCTCAGACACACACACACACACACACACTCACACACACTCACACTGGATATTATGTGTTAGTTCCCTGGGGAAGAGCTGTGCTGCGGCCCAGATGTGCTCCATTCAGCTCATTCTTCACAGGACAACCTGATTGATATTTTAAATAATCAGAGTCACCGATGTGTTAAAAAACATGCTCCACATCGTCGGGAATCCATCACAACATTGCAGCGCTTACAGTGGCGGCAGTTTGAACCCCCTTTAGCATCACCGTGGAGACAGAGGGGTGGAAGGAAAGCAGCAGGGAGCGACCTGCTTCCAGCTCATCAGAGCACGTTAGGAAATCATTATCATCATATTAAGAAGCCTGAGGTGCAGGTGAGACCTGAGGGGATTAGCAATCACAGCCTCACGTTATTGCTTGTTACTTCTGCACATAATTCGGATCAAATTCAGAGACCTCATGTGAGAGGAGAGTTGCTTTGACATTTTGAAAAAGTCAGAAATGCTTCCAAATACAGCATGAAATGTCGGGTATCAGCGAGCATGCCAGCCTCTGCAAGAATCCACTCCCATTATTTACAAGCCTTGTACTATACTACCATACACTGGAGTTTCAACCTGAAGTCTGTTTTTTTTTAATCGAGCTCCTCGTAGAGTATCCTTCACAGCATGCGTCGCTGTTTCCTACATGGAGGTATTATGGCTGCCACAGGAAATCACTGCTTCATGGCAGCCATGAGAACTGATTTCCTGTCCTTTATCGCACGATGATGGGGAGCGTCGACAGTGAAACGAAACCCGAGTGAGCAGAGTGATGTCACGGGTGAACTCTGACACTTTGGCAGACACATTGTGCTAAGACGGGTTGCAATCACAACTGCTGCTAACTTTAGTCAAGCGTATTGATTGGCTAGAGATCGGAATAGTAACAAAATAGTAACTCAAACAACACGACATGACACACTACTACCTGACACGGCCCACCACAACACGACTCGCCAAGCAAGCCACGCCTCTCTATGACACGACACACCAGTACTTGGCCAATGATAAGAATAATGTGATACACATTCAAGGCTCCAGATTTGAGTGGGTTGTATTGGTGTTTTCAAACAGCTCATTTTTTCAGCTGTGAATTAAAGGGATACTTCACCCGTTGAAACATGAATCTGTATTGACATTGAGTCATATATGTAGAAGAAACGTGAAATCAATGTTGAAGTTGGTGCCTTCTTGACTGAGAAAAGACAGAAAGTCTCTTTTTGGCTCATGTGGATGAAAGACAACAACTCGCAGAATGCACAGCACCGCAGGCCACTCCCACTAAGGTCCTCTATTTACAGACATATTCACTACAAAACATAAAGGCCGTTTCCTCAACTGATTCCGAGATTTCTTCCTGAAGGAACTAGCATGTTGGAAATTCCTGGCAGAAAACAGACTCTATGTCTGTGTCCATAGGCAAACAGTGAGAGCACCGGCACTACCAGTCCGCCCCAGCTCGAGCCGCCCCGGGCTCCTCGTCCATCTCGGCTGCGATAGAATGCATAGTTTTGATTGTTCTGATTTCATAGTTCTCAGCGTCCTGAGCACAAAAACGCCACCAGAATATGTATGCAAAATTAGAGGATTATAGAGTTCTTAAACGTACAATATGTATAATTTTATTAGAATCTTTACACTAAAATATCTTAATTATTTCAAAATGGACGTTTGTTTTTGTTTTTTTCTTGAGTACTTACACCAACTCATATTTCCAACAGTTATCAAAGACAGAGAAAACCTTTATTTTAGAGTTGAAACGGGACGTGTCTTGTCATGGCAGACGCGAAATGTTTATCGCTGCCATGGAAACACTGGATGTTACATCACAGGCCGCTGCATAAGGAAGCGTGAGCTGCGCCTGAAAGCTGACGTACTGTTGCTGTATGAGCTGCTGTGATAAAACATCATGTAAAT